GGAGGCGTTGGCTTGTATGGTGTTCTTATTTTTTAGAGTGCAGTTGCAGAAATAGAATACAACTGCACTTCATTTGTTTTAGCAGAAAGAAACAATGAAGCAATTGCATTCTTGAGCCATATTTTCTCATCTGAGCCTATGTCCCATTTCCATGAAATGTTGCTGCTGAGAATTTGTGTTGTCATGTAGCTTCAGATTTGTTCCAGCATATATCATTTGGGCTTGTGATAAATATGAAGTACTTAGCAAAATGAAAGAAACCAGACAAGAAAGTGCCAACTGAACAGTAAGGCAGAAAAGGTTGTGATATACATTTTGAATTTGCATTGGCAGCTTTAAGTAGTATGATCTGCCTTAGGTCCAGTGGCGGAGGAAGCCACTTGGGCGCCTGTGGCGGCGCGCCCAGGGGTGGCGTGAGCTGCCCATAAGGGCAGGATGCCCCGCAGGGCCTCTGGAGTCTGCCTGCCTCCTCCCACTCAGCCGCCCTACAGTTGGGGGGGAGGCAGTGGGTGGACCGTTTGGGCAGCATGGAGCCTGTGCGCGCCCAAGCTACTGCGGCTCTTCCAGGAGAGACACGTGGTTCAGGCGCGCTGCAGGCCCCGTGGTGAGTGCCGCCCGGCATTCTGTCACCCCCCAGTGGTGACACCCGGGGCAGCCTGCACGCACTGCACCCTCCTTCCTCCGCCCCTGCTTAGGTCACACCCACACCATACATTTAAAGCATTCTTATTCTACTTTAGCAGTAATGACTTCCTCCAGGGAATCCAGGGAACTATAGTTTATCCCCTATAGAATTATCTGGCTTTCTTGCTTGCTTCGGCTGCATCCTTGCCCCAGATTCGGAGGCGGTGGCAGCGGCAGAATAGAATGTCCCTATTTCCATCTGAGGAATGTTGGAGGGTATGGACAGTGAGGGTGAACTGCATAGAAATTGGGTGTAGGTGTGGTTTGGCTTGCCTTATTGCCTTATTACTTAACTGGGGGTTCTTTCTCTCCCCCAGCCCCCACACGGCCTTTTCAGTTACAGTTTTCCCAAAACCTTGTAGCAAACGCAATGAGATTTCTGCTCAAGAAGACCTTGTTGCTGAAGCAAGGCTTTGGATGGAACAGGAAGCTCTCTCATAATGTGGAATAGCCCCAAACTGGTTTTTAAAAGCACAGATTATGATAACAAATATATACTTGAGATCATTTTTATCTGACCACCTGACAATTTAGCTACACTTTGTAACTCTCTGCCTGTTGGCATCCGCCAGGTGCCTTTACTGTGCTCTTTTCAGCACCTGCTAAAAACATTTTTGTTTAGAGAAAAATGTAGAATGGTGATGTGTGTTTTAATCTTTTTTTGTTTGTTTTTTGCTGCTTTTATTTTATTTTTAATATTTTAAATAGTTCCTTTTAACTGTTGTTTTTTTACGGACAATATTATTGTTTCGTTGTAAATCATTTCAAGTTTTTTTTTAAAAAATAATCAAGCTGTGTATAAATTTTAGGAGATAAATAAAATAAGGGCTTTCAGTTCCTCACCAACACCCCATGTTATTTTGCTATTTTTAGAAGCCTGTTTGTGTAAACTCGCTGCGTGATTATCAGCAGTCTGTAGAATACCAATCACTCCTGTCTTCAGTGAGAATGCTTAACGCAGGGATGCAAACATAGTGACAAACAGGAATTGTTCGGGCATTAGTGGAACTGACTATGTGCACACAGTCTTTAGAATGTCTAACATGCCTTCGGCTTCTCATTGGCAAAGGGAAGTCAAAAGGAACAACAGCAGGCATTCTGAGTTTGCTTTAGCAATTCAAAGTACTTCAGAAATCAGGGAGGAGGATGTACCGCTTGGATTTTAGAGATTCTGCACAGCTCCAAAAGGATCACAGCGCAAGTGGATTTTTAACTCCTAAATTGAGGGTAGCCGGGCAGCCTTGTTCTATATACCTTCGTCACAATTCACAACATACTATGTATCATTTCTCTGTGGGATGGCTGATGCCTTTTTTTCCCCCTTGGCCGATGCTGAAACTACTTCTTTTCTGCTCACTTTTGCAATGAGAGCAGATAACATGTTGGCTGTGTCAAGGTCAGTTGTAAAATAAATTGCTGAGATGCAATTGTGGTTGATAGTTTTATCACTGGGACCTGTTAGCGTCAAAAGTGAGCTGAACCAACCTTTTGTCTTCTTTCCTTTATGGTACAAGTTGAAAGGATGTTAAAGGGGTGTGTGTGTGTGTGTGTGTGTGTGTGTGTGTGTTTCTTTTCTTTTTTCCCAAAAAGCTGAAATACTGACTGGGTATCCTGGATCTTCTTTAGCCTTCTAGTACATATGTATTTAAAATACAGAACTAGAAATGCAACCTATGCAAGCTGTTCTCAATGGAATTAAATATTTAAAAACCCTGAAGCTACTTATAATGTTGCAGAGTAAGAAAATAGAGATAAGAAAGGGGGAGAAATTTACAGGCCCACATAATAGGAGTTAGCTGGGAACTAGATTTCTCTCTCTCTCTTCATATTGTGTTTAATCTGGTAAAACAGTACCAGAAATGTTGGATTGTAAGAGTGCACAATTGACAAGCAATAGAGGTGCATAGAGTAGCTGCTTATGACAATACATTATCAGAGAAAATAAATCCCTTCCCCCAAATAAATATTTTTTTCATTAGGGTTCATTTAGTGTTGATATTTATATTTTTGCTTTCCTCCAAATTGGTCAGGGCAGTATGCCTGGTTCTTCACTCCCCTCCCCCTCCCCCTCAAATTTGTCCTCATAACAGCCCTATGAGGTAGTTTCGGTTGAGAGAGAGTGACTGACCAAGGTTACCCAGTGAGAGCTTCATGACTGAGTAGTGTTTTGAACTTGTACCTGAGTCTCTCTTAGTTCGCTGTGCTGAACAAAGTCAGGAGCAGCAGAATTAACAGGCATATATGCAGAGTATTTTTTCACCTAGTCCAATGGCTGAGTCAGTGCTGAGGGTTTCAATTGTTTGTGGGCCAGCCTGCTATGAAGAAATTGGAAGAATATTGCTGCCCATCTATCACAATCTCATTGCATGATTTCCTTCCTCATTTCTGGTATAGTTTTGATGACTAAATCAACATTTTCTTTTTGGGGGAAAGGTCATCATTTTGATATAACAGCCCCCTAAACCAGGTTTCTGTCTGCTACCAAATCCATCATAACTTTTTTTGTTCTTAATTTCAAACCCTACATGACCCCCTTACATATTTCCATAACCACCTTCTCCAATGCACCCCATTCCTTGTCTTTCACCTTTGCTTCTTCAGCTATTCTATCCTGTTCAATTCCTCCAGGCCTTCTGCACCCTTTAACATCTCCATATTTTCTACTTAACTCCCTATGCTCCTGGAACTGCCTCTTATGACAACCACATGGTGCCACCTTTCTCCCTCTCAAGCCCATCATCTTCTGTGAATTCTTCAGCTCAACCTCTTTTCCTTTTAATCTCCTACGGAAATTAAGCTTAAGGATGTGTAAGTAGAGCCATTTCTATTTTGAGGCAGCTGCCTCAAGTGGCAAAAGATGAGGAGTATGGAGCGGGCAGATCTGTAATTGTGAAATGGCTTCCCTTAAGTTCACTAATCTTGCCTGCTAGGTGAACTAAGAGTCAGCTGCCAATGTGGTCTTATATGGAATGGAGGGGAGGTGCCAACTCATCATCCAGCCCATGAAGCAAAAATGTCTTGAGCCAGCTCTGTGTGAAACTGAGCTAAAGGCATATTGCCTCCCTGTGTTGCCTCCTACTTTCATAATAATTCACTGTGTGAAGAGATAAGCAGTCTCTTCCTGTGTACGTTTGTGAGAAAGTAAATCCCATTGTGCTCATTATGTCTTATTGCAAAAGAACTATGTTTGAGATTTCAACCTGCATAAATTTAAAGTAAATAATTAGTGCAGTGGATGAAAATGGATTGCTAACCAGAAAGTATTTGATTCAGATCTCATGTATTCTACAGACTCAGTAGCCCAGTTCAAACATCATGATCCTGACCTGTTAAACTATAGCTTATCCAACTGGAAATGAGTCACATGCCTGTGTACTCTCTCCTCACTCCTTTCCCCTTGCATGCCCAACTTCAGCAAAACTACATTGGTTTCTTAAATTATGGTTTCCATGATGTCTGAATAAGAAACTATGGTTTAAGTTGTGCCCTCCAAAGCAGAATATGATGCCAGAATCAGATCCTGGTTTCACATTATGGTTTGTAGTAGGGGCTTTAAGCAACAGCTTCCTGCTTTAGAGATCTCTAGCAGGAGCAATCAGAGGAGAGAGATCATGGACAAATGACTCACTCACAGGTCAGAGTCATCACATCTGAAATGGATCACTCTCTCATCTTCTACTCTACATCTGCAGTATGGAAATAATAATACTGACAGGATTGTTGTAAACATTACTTAAGTGATGATGCAATTTGTTAAATTTACTCCTTCCATTGCCAAAGGAGCTCAGGGTAATATATATATGAAGGCCTTTGCAGACTCCAAATTATAATGTAAAGCTTAAGTGTTCTTGTTTATTGCTTCACATACCACTGTGACTATCTAACCCATGCTGTTTTCCCATTTTCTGTTATCAGTAGTAATGAAAAGAAATCCATCCTGCCTGTACAGTATTTACCAACATAGGGTGTGGCATTGTCCTCCCACTTCTCTTGGACCATTCTGAAAAACTTTGTACTTTCTTCTGTGGAGAATGACTTTTCTGCAATAAAACAATAGTGACCAGATTCTTAAGCATACAGAGATTTATTACTATCATTTGAATGCATTAGGAATATAAAGTATTTATTTTCTGTAATCTAGTCAACAAATATCAGATTTAAATATTATTATCTCCCTTCAACATTATTGCAATTCAGGTTTAGGTGGGAAGTTCTGCTTTTAATGCAGACTGCACCCTCCCCTTCCACCATTCCTGCAGCTATAGTGATAGTGGGTTAAAACAATGTGTCTGATAGCTGGCTTTGTGGGGTGGGAGGGCCATAGCTCAGTGGTAGAGCATCTGCTTTGCATGCAGAAGGGTCCATGTTCAATCATCAGCATCATCACATAGGGCTAGGAGAAACCCATCTGAAATCTTGGACAGTTGCTACCAGGGTACTGAGCTAGATGAACTAATGGTAAGACTCAGCATTAGGCAACTTTCTAGATAATGAGAATCCATGCTATTAGGCAACCCTCATTTTGGACATGACTGATATGTGCACAATTGCTTACAGGTGTACAGCACAAAATCCAGAAGTGACCCAGAAATGTCAATGACAAAAGATGTCACTGAAAGGGCGGAGCAGGGGTGGAAAGGGGTGTTTCAATTTCACGTGATTTCACGCAAGCGTGCAATGACCTGGAACGCAACCCCCATTCAAATTGGGGGTTGCCTGTATACTGTTGTTCTTGTTTGGTGAATTGTTGCATTTAAAACAAAGAAGAAAGCCTTTTTATCTTTATTTTTGGAAAGGGAAGGGGGGAAGGAAACTTCAAAACCTTCAAGTAATAAGCCAGAGCTTCTGGCTGTTTATTGTTCCCCAGGGTACCCTTGCCGCTGTTCTGCAAAGATTCATTGTTTTAGTTGGACAGAGAACATCTAATGAGGCTGAAAGGTGGTGATGCTCAGGACCTCAGCTGCTTACATCTTACCCTCAATTGGAGGTTTTCTATGTGCCCTGTTGCCATTAAATCCTGCCCTCCTCAAAGTTGTGTTGACCTTACCTTAGAGAAGCAAAGTAACATTTCGCTTAACATCACTCTTAATTTTGTGGTTCCAAAGTCATGAAAGATAACACAATATTTTTTGACTTTTGGAAATAATTTTATATCTCAGATGACCCAATTGTAGAGATGGGAGATTCAATTAAGGGGGAAAGAAATTGATAGTCTCCCCCTTCAGGGCATTTCTGCATCTCTTGTCCTGAACTTTCAGGCTGACTTTTTAGTACGTCTTAAAAATCATCTGTTAGTGATATAGAGTTAGTCCTTGTGATAAAAATGCAAAACCATCCATTTACGTTTCCTCTTATGACTGAATTCTAATAGTTCTTTTATATCTCTTATTTCCAAAATGGTCAGATTATACATGGGGAAGAATTGGACAAAAAGATTGTGGTTGCTTAACTAGGCTTCAACTGCACTAACATACTTCAGAAATACCATAGCAATCAGTAGAAACTGTGCACTATATATAATGCACTAAATCATCAGGCTTTTTAGCATTACATTTAATTTGCACTAATCAGTATGAGGCAGGTGGGGTGTTAATTTCACATGGTATTTTGCAATAATTATGAGTTTAGAGTAGGTAGATGACAGTAACGTGTATTGAATCACCGTATATCTTCCCATCTGCTTATTTAAAATGAACACTGTGTGTCTTCAACTAACTGTGCTGATTGTACACCAAAAGACAAGCACTCCAAAGTTTAAGCCCCCCTTTCACACAGCCGTAGTTATTCTCCACTTCAGTGCAGAGATTCCTAGATCTCACACTCCATTCAGCTGCATATTAAAGTCTGAATAGACATGATAGACCAGCCTGTGTAGAAAGTGGGAGTATCATTTCTTTTCCTTTTCCTGATAAGGGACATGCAACTGAGGAGAGTGAAATCATCCGTACTCTCCATTCTTACCTCATTGGGCCCCCTCACTTATAGTGGCCATGCATCCTAATTTATAGAAGATAGTCTTCTATTTGAAGGTTTGCCACAGGAGAGTTCTCTATTTGAGGGTTTGCCATCCTATCAGCTGCTGATATCTCTCACACCAGGGATGATCTTCGTGATAAAGTCATGTCCAAGCATACAGTATTATGTTTTCTATGGGAATTTCACCAGTGACCCCGGCACCTGAATTTCTCACATGGTTGATTCAGAGGTGCTCTTGCACATGTAGAAGATTGGAGGTCCCCCCCCCCCCCGCTGACAATTAAAATTTTCTATTCCCTTTTACTAACGTAGCCTTCAGAGGACTCCCCAACCTTCAGCAGAGGATTTTCAAACAGAATATCCTACTGTGTGAAGAGAGTTCCACTCTTACATCTTCAGTGTCAAATCTATGAAATTCAGTGTACATCTATTATAAATCGATAACACCATTGATATACAATAGATGTTTACACGAGCTAAGGGCCTGAATAAAAATATTGTAAATATGTTGGGCAGAAGCCAACCATAATTAAAAGCACATCTACATTGTACTATGTTGTAGTGTAAGACATCTCAAATGAGGGGATATAAAACTGTGGTTACAGAGCAGTGCAGAAATGGGACACCGGTGTAAATGAAAACAAGACCAATCAATAGAAAGTGAACTTGGAAAGATGCACATGTAGCAAAAAGAAAGAAAGAAAAGAAAGAAAGAAAAAAGTACACTTATTATCTTTGATGGTTGCAGTCCTAGTTTCTTTTCCATCTTATGCTATCTATTATTTAAGACTATCCATTTCCCTAGTGTAGGGGAATTAGTAGAGAAAAAAATAATGCATGTGGTATAGTAAAAGTAAATAAATAATAAGAATTGTTGTGGCTCTGATATTTAGTCTGCTGAGAAGTCCAGTCCTCTTCCCCCTGCCCCCTGGAGGGCGGGTAAAGTGGGCAGGGTACATCTTAGGAATTACTACTCACTGCTAATGAGTGCCCAAGGCACTGGTGGAGGAACGGGGGTGCGGAGGGAGCGGATCGCCCCGGCATCACTATTCCAGTAGGGTGCCATTGCGGTGGCCCACCACAGACACACGTTGTGTACCCCCCGCTGCTGGGTGCCATGACCCCACAGGCGGCGCATCATGCCCCGAGAACGCGCGTCACACCCCTAGGATGCGCATCACGCCTTTGCAGGTGGCATGCCATGCCCCTGGGATGCGTGCCACACCCCCACCTGCTCTCCACCCCCGGTAGCAGAGCATGCAGCTTCGCCACTGGCCAAAGGAATGATTTTTTAAAAAGCTGATGTAAAATAAAACACCTGCCTGTGTTTGTTGCATTCTCTAGGCTGGCGATGTCCAGTGAAACTCACCCCCAACCTCATAAATTATCCCATCACCAATGATTGCATGCTATAATTGCCGCTATGTAGAGCTTGATTTGCTTTATTGTATTTCTATGTTGCTTTTTAGCCAAATGAAACACGAAGCGGCTTATAAACAACAAATAACAATAACATAATAAAACATCACAGATAAAGCATATAAAATAATTAAGAAGTAATCAGTGCCGCTATACATCTGCTGGTACACTACAAAGAGGTCCAAAATGCACCAAAAAGGTGGCAAAACTCCATTTCGGTGAGTTCTTGCTGAAAAAAGCCCTGGCTACAACACTCAAAAATCAGAGTGAAGCTGCATGAAGGTATAGCAGAATATATTTCATGCACAGGGGCCCTTTGGCGGGCATAGCCCCTGACCATAGAGACTAGATTGCTGCTACAGAAGTGCTGCCTTATAAACATCTGGGGCAGGTGCCTCCTCTGATGCCCAAGGTGGGCTGGTGGAAGCCTCACGGTTTTACAATATATCATCTAAAGCTCCTACTTATAACCAAGACATTTGCCAGTACGGTATTATTACATACTCCTCTTGGTAACAGCCATTGGGGCAGCTCAGCTAGCCCCACCCCTTTTCTGTATTGCATCAGCAGTGCGCATATATAGCAGGCACAGGGTGGGACGAACGGACGTGGATATAGAATAGAATGTCCCTATTTTTATCTGAGGAATGTTGATGGGTATGACATTGTCATTAAGAAAAATACGCCCTAAGAAAAGCTGTTTGGCACAATGGATCAGAAATATCTTTTTGAACTGGAATAAGGAAGGCTAGTCATCTTAAAGAGAGCCTGGCAAACAGCAGCAAAGTATTGTTTTCTGATAATTTTTGCTCTTTTCGAGCTTTTATTCTCTCATTTACATAAGTTGACCTAACTTTTTGGCACTCGGCAAGTAACATAAACATGATGGTTTGCACTACAAGCTGTTGATAAGTAATAAACAGAAGGTAGAGAAGGTGCTAGTGTAAGGATGGAGGAGACATGTGCTTGGTCTACATTTTGAAGTAAACTAGCTTAATTTGCCAGTTTCATGTGGCTCAAAACCAACTATCAGGTGGAGTTCATGCTTCCCTGAATTTTGGTGCAGTTATTATTTTAACAATCCACATAAAATGTGAATTTTACTGAGGGAAATGTGTACAAAAATGTGTATTTTATGGAAAGAGAAATTCTATATAAAACATGTACAATTTAAGCATGGAACAAATTTAGGAGCCACTGCAAAACTGACATGGAATTGAAATAGCCTGATCTGCCCATCTCTAATAAAAGGTTACCCTGTGAATTTTTATTTTAAGCATTAAAATGGAAATCCAAATGCATTTGTGGGTATAATGGTATATCTCAAGAATCTTGAGTGCTTTTGAGGTAGCACTGTATATCACAGTGAAAATTGGTTTCGTATAGATTCAGCCAAATGGTCCTAAGAGCTTCAGTGGCTTTTCCAGAAGTACAGTGTGTTTTTCTTTCTTTCTTTCTTTCCCAGTGACTCATTTTTCAGATTTGTTGAAGACCCATCCTATAATTTATAGAATTTATTTAATTGCTGAAATAAAAGTGTCTCTGCTAATGCATATTTTCCATTTCCTTCAAAGCGCATTTCCCCTCACACTTAATAGTTACTGTTATCTCAGCAGGCAAACCACTTTGTCTTCCAAAGGAAGCATTCCCCCTAATAAAAGCCTAAAAGAATTTTGAAGACACCAAGCTGGAAGGGCTAGAAGTTAGTCGCACAACCAACTGTTCATGGGAGAGTTGCAGTGCAGGATGCACCTCTGAGGAAACCTTCTTGGATAAGGTGCCATGGCTAATCACCAACTTAGGGGTGTGCGAGGGGTGTGCAAATGACTGCAGAGTTTGCTAATCAGTACCAGTCCTGCCATTAGGCAGAGTGAAGCTTCCACCTCAGGTGGCAGATGCTGGGCCTTAGGATAGAAGGGGTGGCAGCCAAGGAGAGCACTGAGTGAACAGTGGCAAGGTGTTGGAGCAGGGTGTTTGTCACATGTCTTGCC